GCCCGCTGTTACACCATAAAGCATAAGAAGGAAAACTCACTTCACATCATCACGGACGGTGGTGAGAGGGAACTCAGGACCGTACAAGCCCTTGGACGGATCGCCATCCTTGTAGGTCACAGCACTAGCACTTCCGTACGGACTGCCCAGACTGTTCAAGCAGACGACGAAGAAGCGCGATGTATCGAAAGCTTGACCAGGGCCACCAAGTAGGGGACCCCACCAGTCCGCGACATCCGCACTACCACTGAGAGCATGACAGATCACCAATGCATTGTCACGTTCGGGGGAGAGTTGACCTCTCGTCGTGTAGGCCACGGGAACGTTGTGCAAGGTAACACCAGACTCAAGGGTGAAAGAAGGGATGATGACGATCGATTGATCGGTGATGAGGGCCGAGTAAGGGTTTTCGGGTTGGGAATCAGCCCTCTCTACGGGATTTAGTAGCTGTTCACTTTGGAAAGGCGGGGGAGGGGTAGAGGGGGGAAACTGACGGAATTGCCCGGGGGCGGCAGCTTGGGCGACCATACTGGACGGACGCGTGTGGTTAACGGACGTATGGATGCAGAACAAGTAGCAGGACGAAGTTTAAAACTGTGGAAGAGGGAGAGAAGCAAGATGAAGCAGTAGACACACAAATGAACAGGAGGGAAAGTTAAAAGGAAGAAAAGGGCGGGAAACGCAAGATGATGGCGATCGCTGGTCCCCCGGGGAGTTTTCCGGCCTTGACTCATACGCCATCACGGGCCAATCACATGTCTTACATTGATCCTGAGGCAGGATTGAGTCTACGGATTTAGGTTCCACCGAGGATCCGCCCCCGGTCCCGCTCCCCGGCATTTCTGTGTCTCTCCGATCCCGGGCTCTCCAAGCATCGTCATGCATACTGTACACCACCAATGAAATAAGTGGTCTATAACAACAGAGCGAGCACTTCAGCGAGTAAAACGGAGAAATGATGGCGTGGCTGTATTCAGTATCCGCTTCAGTATTGTCTTAGCGAATACGAAATGTACCGGTCCATGGAAAGCTTTATTCAGTCTAGGCCCCTTCCCTGGCTATCGGGCCGAGTATGTATATCGTGGAAAATATTATAGAACAGTGACCTTGAACATCACATTCCTCGGATCTTTACTTATTCAGAATGTTTGAACAATTACATTATTTCATTGATACGATGTTCAGGTTATCAAACCAGCAACGCTCTGACAACCCGCTCATAACGATCTCCACACAAATTGATATTAGTCAAGTATATGATTCTGATTATGCCTCAGATAAAACATCATGGTTTCATGTCATCTCCAAAACATTCCACACCTATAACAGGCCTACTTGATCTCGCTTTCTGATAACTGGTGCGACGTTTAGTCTCGATCAGTAGTATTAATACAAAACAACGCATTGACAATGTCTAGAATCCGCTAAAACAAGACAATCGTTAATCACACAGCCAACCCATAATCATCACGCACCTATTTACAACGAAACAACCAACTTCTTCGCCGAAACGCCCTTCTTCAAAATATCCAACGACCCCTGCAATGACTCCAATCCCTCACTCACCACCTCCACCTTAGGTGCACTAACAAAGCTCCCCTCCTTCAACGCGGCCGGCAAGAAATCCACAAAGATAGCAGGCCCAACCTCATTCTCAGCCAAATCACCACCAAAGACGAACTTCGACTTGACCCCATCCGCCAGCGGTCCGGATGGCGGACTCACCAACGCAACAAACTTCCTCCCTTCGACCCTCGCCACAATCTGACCACACTTTTCAGGTGACTCCGGCCCAATAGCCAATGCACCAGCACTAGACTTCCCCCTAAACGCAGCAATGATATCCTCGACTACCGTCTCAGACTTATAGTCGAAGACGTAGCTCGCACCAAGAGACTTGACAAAGTCGTAGTTCCGCGGCGAAGCCGTCGTAATCACTTCATACCCGGCTGCAACAGCAAGCTGGATAGCGTTGCTGCCAACGCTGGATGATCCGCTCCAGATGAGGACGGTCTGCCCTGTTGATGGGGCTCGGGGAGCGGTGGGATGCTGCAGCGCGAGGTAGTCTTTCTGGAAGAGACCACATGCGGCGGTTGATATCCCGAGGGGGATTCCGGCCGCGTCGGCGTAGGATAGATCGGACGGGATTGGGGAGGTCATGTGTGCGTGGAGCACAACGTAGTTCTGGAAGGCACCTTTAGAGGAACGCGTGCTTTTCAGTTCGCCTGTTAGACCGAGGACCCGGTCTCCGGGCTTGAAACGGGAGGAAATAGGGCCTGGTCCGACTTCCACTACTTCGCCGGCGACGTCGCTGCCCATGATAGCGGGATAGGGTGTCCAGGCGAAGAGGGCGGAGCCAAGGTCCTGACGAGCATAGTCAACGAGGTTGAGCCCGATGCTGTGGTTCTTGATTACGAGTTCGTTCTCGCCGGGATGGGTGTATGGAGCGCTGTCGATTTCCAGAGGGTAGGCCTTTTCGGACTTGATCCAGGCGGCGGTATTGGTTGGGGCCATTATGGTGAGTCAATTGTTGACGATTTAGAGCTTAGAATATCTCCAGCTCTTATTTGCAAGAAAATACTCGTAGAGATATAATGGACATGAGCGCCGGCCAGCGATCTATATACCACCCTCGCCAAGAAGTCCAACGGCATCTCGGATTAGGGCACGGTGATAACGCCGTAATATCCGATGGCAAATCCTTCGGTGCTTACACCCCGACGGGATTTGCGACTCTTAAATCCTACGGCATTGCCGCCCAAATCTAACGGAAATCCGACCCTCTTTGCATCTCTTGTGTCATGATTTATGCTCAAGTCCGCTTGTCGCCATGGATCAGCCCCCCACCCAGTATGATCTCGCCCCGGCCCCGTACGGCCGCGCCTGCATGAATTGCTCGCAGTCTAAATGCAAATGCATCCTACCCAAAGCGGGCGGGCGATGCCAGAGGTTTGTCTTACAGTACACAGAGATAATTCGAGTCTGACAGTACTGGAAGGTGTCAACGCTTGAATAAAGAATGCCGGCCATCGGCTTTCCATCGACGGCAGAATGCGCGCAAGTCCGCGCTGCCCAAGACGGGACGGTTAGAGAAGAAGCTCGATGAACTGGTGACGCTGCTCCGCGCGCAGTCTTCTAACAATGCCGGGGATTATGCTGAGCTGATTGAGGAGCTGCGACGAGAGCCGGATGAAGACCATCATCATCATCCACCACCGCCACGCTCCCAGATCAAGGTTACTCGGACAGTCTCGACGGCGGAGAAATCCATCGACTGCGGGTTCCTTAATCACTTTGCCCAGGTTGGAGCTACCTCATCCCGGGATGAGTCGAATAGTGGAGGACAGATGCCAAATGCGAGTACAGCAGAGCCGACCCGGTCACAGGCTGAAGAGTATCTGAGCATGTTTGTCACTCAGAAGCTACCCTATCTGCCATTCGTGTACTTCCCACCAGGAACAACAGCACAGCATCTCCGTAGTGACCGGCCGTTCCTCTGGCTATGCATCATGGCAGTCACGTCGAAGAGCCCGAGTCAGCGACGTACACTTTGTGATAGAATCCGCGAGACTGTAGCTCAGCGCATGGTTCATGACTGCTACGGTCGCGATCTCGACTTCCTCCTAGGTCTCCTGGTATATATAGCCTGGTACGATTGCCCTCCCCCTTTTGATTCCTAATTCTAACAGCAACAGGTCCAACCAACAAGTATTCAAGAAGCTCAACATGACCATCTACAGCCAATTCGCCACAGCCATCGTCTTCGACCTCATGCTCAGCCAAGCCCCCGGCGGAGACAAACCATCACTACTGACTATACTCCAAACGCACCCGGAGGAGGATCCCTCCCCACCACCAGCCCGAACAATGGACGAGAGACGCGCCGTGCTGGGCTGTTTCCTCTTAACCTCCAGGTACACCATCTCCCCCCATCCCCACTACTACTGAATATAAACCCACTGTTAACTCACTCCCAGCATCTCCCTCTTCCTCGAGAAAAGCGACCCGCTCCGCTGGACCCCCCACATGGACGAATGCCTACACCATCTCCTCGAACACCCAGAATGTCTAAATGACGAGATCCTCGCCCAACAAGCACGCTTCCAACTCATCAACGAGAGAATCAACACCACAACAACAGACCCCTACCACACTAACCTCCCATCCTTCATCCCACCCCTATCAACAATCTACACCCACACCCTCACCACCCACCTCCACCAAACCCAAAGCAAACTCACCCCCAATTCCCAACGCCACCGAATCCTCCACCTCCACCACTCCAACACTTACCTCACCATCCACCAATCCGCCCTCCTAAAACAACCCCCTACTAGCCTTACTACCACCTCCTCCTCCCCAACTACCACATCAACTACCAACCAGCTCCACCACCTCGAATCCCTCCACGCCTGCCTCTCCGCAACATCCACCTGGCTCACCACCTTCCTCGCAATCCCACCAGCCGAATACGCAGGCTTTCCCTTCCCGATCTTCGCGCAGCTCGTGCGGCATTTAGCAGCCCTATATCGGCTCTCTACGCTGGATGATGATGACGGTGATCATACTCCGGCCTGGGATCGGGGGCATGTACGGCAAACGATCGATTTGATGGAAGTGATGGATCGGTTGATTGGGAATTTGGGCCAGGCGGCTGCGTTGGCCAGACTCGAGGCGCAGGGCGAGGATGAGGATGAAGATGTGTTTTTTTATTCGATTGGGAAGTATGAGTCTGTTAGGTTGAAGTGGGGGGGTGTTTTTGGGGGTCGGGATGGGAATGGGGGTGGGGGTGGGGTGGAGGGGCAGGGGCAGGGGGTGCAGGATGGTAGTAGTGCTAATGGGCTGGGTCAGGGACATGGACATGGACAGGTGCAGGAGATGGGGGGTTTGGGCGTTGGGTATGATGATTGGTTGTCGGAGTTTTTGAATTCGATGGTGCATTAATGTATATCTTGTATGCTTCTCTGAAATATTATAGGATGGTTAGTAAATATCAGCCGTATAGACATCCCCTCAGTGATACGCCAACGTGAAATATCAACTGTATATCAGCATCCTATGCAAAAATATCTCCCCCCTCCGGCCCATTCCTCGCCTTCTCCATCCTCTCTACACTCGTCTTAAACAATCGTGGCATCCCCGTCTCCTCGAACTTCTTCCCCTTCTGAATCATCTCCGCCAGTCCCTTGGCGGACAGCAGAATCACCGGCATTCCATGGCCATTAAACCCAGCACAGACATACTGGCCGGGTTTATTGGGAACTTCGCCGATATGCGGATGCGAGTCGGCCGAGTAGCCCATAACTGTTAGCATAGTCAGCACAAGTCATTCCCTCAAACACTAAAATGCAGATACAAAGATACAAAAGAAGTAAAAGAAGGGATACTCACCACCCGTCCAAATCTCCTTCACATACGCCCCACTATCCTCCCACCCCCTAAACGTCCGCTGCATGTACCCATCATAGTAATTCTTCGCCGACTCAATCAACGTCGTATCATCCACAACACCATACCATTCCTCCCGCTTATTCTTAAATGTCGCCTGCGCTCCACCCACAATAATACTTCCATCCGGTCTGGAAATCAGATAACTGCCCCCGCCGACAACGTCGGATCCGTACCCGATTGCATACGAGTAGGGGAGGAACGGTGCGGGTTTCTTGCCCTCTCCCTCAGGGACCGTGATATGGCAGCATATTCCCTTGCAGGGAATGATGTTTGCCGAATACTCGGGGAGTAAGCCGGCGGTGTAGGCGTTTGTGGCGTAGACGATTTTACCGGCGCGGAGAGTGCCTCGGGGAGTGGAGATGGTGTGGATGTTGTCTTCTGTAGTGATGGATGTCACTGGGGTGTGGGTTTGGACGTTTAATTGCGGGGATTTGATGATTTTGCTTAGTAGGCCGAGAATGAATTTGTAGGGCCAAAGTGTGCCTGATGTGTAGGAGATGCAGGCCTTGGCGTTGTGAGCGCCTGATATCTGTATCTTTTTTTAGTATCTTTCCCTATCTCATTGGAAAGTAAATGATGGATGATAAAGGATCTATAGTACTCACCACCTCCGCATCCCTTTTCCCTGTATAATGCAAATCCTCAGCCAACTTGACCCCCCTCGCCTGCAACATCTCATACGCGAGCTTGGCTTTCTCTGCCGACTCTTCATCCAGATACACATTCATGTTCCGGGTAATGTTCAAATCGCAGTCGATGTTCTCCTCGCGGAGGAGATCTTTCAGCGCTTGGATATGGGCGTATTCGAACTCGGCGATCTCCAGGCCCGCTTCTAGCCCGGAGCGCTCAATGTAGGTGGGAATGTGACCGTAAATGTCGGGGCGGAGATGGCCACCTTCACTTTCAAGGTTAACCTCGTGTACCGCATACTTATGAATAGGGGCATACCATTTCGACCCGTCGCGCCCGAGCAAATCTGCCTCGCCTCGAGCAGCGTGATAGTAGTAGGCTTGTCACCCTGCTCAGCGAGCTGTTTGAGGAGATAGTAAGCTAGCGTGACGCCTGAGTAGCCGCCGCCGATGATGGCGATGTCGCTTTGCGGGGGCAGGTCGGGGGTGCTCCGGATGTCATCGAGCGGGTCGAGTTGGGTGCGCCAGAAGGGAGTGATGGGGTTATTTGGGGGGAGCATCGTGTTTGTTGTTGTGGAGCCCATCGTGATAATATTTCTACAGTGAGTGGTATCCAAAAATTGAGTGTAGGTCTGAGAGATGTTTACTACGACCCTGTTCAGTCGGCTCTCACCGCAATATATACATGAGTCGATCGCCCAACGTTTTAGCCGTTTATCCCGCCCCAACGTAGTAGATGTGGTCGATAGTAGGTGGATAACGGCCTAGCCCCCCGATCTTATCTGCTTTATCTTCGGAGTTCGGCTTGGGGTCCATTAGTTGGGGGGACTATCGGCCGTTGTCGGAGATGTGTAGTTCAAAGAGGGTGGGCTCTATGTCAATAGTATGTGGTTCTATGTGGGTGTTAGTCTTCTAGAAGACGGGATATAATCGGGAGAACTTCGTGAAGAATTGCCGGAATTGTTTACCTAGGGAAGAGCGGGCTGAGTGAGAACCATGTCCAATACACCAGGCTGGCCACTAAGAAGCTCTCCCCTGTAAATGTCCGTTCAGTGCTTATTGTTAGGCTCGCCTTATATCAGCCACCCACGTCTTATCAAGCGTCACTCCGGATGAAACCTCATTATCATGAAGCGTCATCTCGGACGTGCACTCCGCTTATCTATTTCTTGGCTGTTAATATGCAGGGTTAACGAATGCGGGGGCTGTTGATAATTTGATAAAACAACATCTGGCCTGAGCTTGAGCTTTACGGAACTCTCCCATTGAAGTTCCATCCTATACTAGCATCATGTTGGAGGTATGATGTAAATATACCCATAATTCCGGTACTACTTATTGCAACAATGTAACTTACCACTGGTGGTAGCTAGTATTGCGTGGGAGATCCCGACGAGAAAGACAAATTGGGCTGCAAACAAACATCGTAGACTCGATGCATCAATAACACCTGGCAAATACTTAAAGGACAATGTGTCACTCTTAGCTGTGCTGAATACAAAGAAGCATCTTCAGCTGGAGCTCCCAATCGGGTATTTTTCTCCAAGTGGAGCCTTACTCAGCCAGACCGCATTAGGCAGGTCACCATACCGGAAATAGCTACGCACCCAGTGACCACCGCCCTCATCCAGCCTAGCGCGCGACATCATCTCGATCGGTCGCAGCTCAAACACTCACTTCTCATGCCCGACCACCGCAGGGGCATCGCATCGCTTTTCAACACCCCCCAGCCATGACCACGCGCGTTTGAACTTACCCGAACGAAATTCCTCATCGCCGATACACTCTACATGCTCGAGTCTACCACGCTGTGCGCTTTCCGCTACAATGACCGACTATTCGAAATGGAAGGTGACCGATCTTAAAGCCGAGCTGAAGCGGCGCGGCATTGCGCAGACCGGTCTCCGCGTGAAACAACAGATTATTGACCGATTGGTGGAGGAAGACGCCCGCGATGAAAAGGATGCTGTCACGAATGGAGAGCCGGCCGCCGAAGAGGATGTTGCGCCGCAGGAAGCGCAGCCCGTCGACGCGAAGCAGCCAGAACCAGAACCAGAGCCAGCCGCGGATGCGCCAGCTCAACCCGAGGCTACTGAGACCGAAGTGAAAGATAAACAGATTGAGGAGCCACCACAGGAGCAGGAACAACCACAAGCACAAACAGAGGAACAGGGTGACGCGGTTTCTGAGTTGAAGCCTGAGCCGGTGACTGACGAAGCTCCCGCCGGAAGACCTGCTGAGCAAGAACAGCAACAAGAACAGCCAGAGCAACCTGCCCAAGAATCACCGAAACCTGAGGAACCAGCTCAACCCGTCGATTCCACTACTATCGACCAACCCGCCGATACTTCCGTCCCGCAAGACCAGACCGAGAATGACACCGCTGCAGCACCGGTAGAGCAGGCTCCTGGAGAAGCAGCACCGGAACAGTCTGAGGATATGCAGCCAAAACCTGCAGAACAGGCTCCTGGAGAAGCAGCACCGGAACAGTCTGAGGATATGCAGCCAAAACCTGCAGAACCAGCTGCATCTGGCGAGACCGCTGTGCCGCCCGCTGCAGTCCCCTCGGAAATGAACACCGGCTTGTCAACACCCCTGCCTACAGAAGAAGTGCTAGAGGACAGGCGCAAGAGGAAGCGTCGCAGCCAGAGTCCTGTGCCAACACGGGAAGCCCTCGCAAGTAAAAAGGCCAAAGCCCTAGACGAGACACCCCGAGTCGTATTGCCGGAAGACCAGGTTTCCGTGGACAAAGAACGTGAGGCACGGGAGGACGGAGCTCCCGGTCCGCAAGAAACCCCTGAAGAACGCGCGGGGCGCGAGACCGCGCCGGAGGAGGCCCCGCCTGTGCAAGATGAAACATCCAAGAAAGGCGCGCCCCTGAAACATGACGTTCGCTTCAAGGGGCTTTTTGCTGCCAAGGAGACGGAGCAGACTCGCCCCGTCTCCCCTCCACCGGCGGATGCGGTGATGGAAGATGCCGACGTCGAGCCTGCCGTGCATGCTGCTACAGCAGCTCTCTATGTCGGCGGATTGATGCGTCCTCTTCAGCCGGTCGCGCTCAAGAACCACCTGGTCAGTCTCGCGTCCCCTCCGGATGCCTCACCCAATCCGGATGTGGTCGTAGACTTTTACCTGGACCCCATCAAGACACATTGCTTTGCTAGTTTTACGTCGGTCTCGGCAGCGTCTCGAGTCCGCACCGCCCTCCATGGTACGGTATGGCCCAACGAACGCAACCGCAAGACTCTATTCGTGGACTTTATTCCGGAAGACAAGATGTCACTGTGGATTGAGAAGGAAGAAGGATCGCGACAGCGCGGTGGCCCTCCCGCGCGCTGGGAAGTGCGGTATGAGCCAACCGACGATGGCGTAGAGGCTGTTCTCGAGGAAGTTGATCCCCGAAGCGCTTCATCTCAACATACGCGTGCGCCTGACGCCTCAGGCTTTTCTCGTCCGCCGCCTACCGGGCCCCGGGCCGAGATGGGCGCTCCTCGACGTCCCAGTGGCTCAGTCACAGCAGATTCGAGTTCACGACCTGGTCAAGGATTCAAGCCGCTGGATGAACTTTTCATGTCTACGACTACGAAGCCCAAGCTCTACTACCTCCCGGTCCCTCGGGAGGTGGCCGACCGGCGTTTGGATCGGTTCGACGATTTGCTACGAAAGGGTGAGTTTCCCCGACGCGGAGGAGACGAGCGCCGTCGCATCACCTTCGAGGATGAAGATTTCTTCGTTGATAATGGACCCGACTTTGGTGGTGGGCGCAACCGACGAGGCCGGGGCCGCGGTGGTCGCGGACGCGGAGGGTTCGGAGATTCGTGGAGAGATGACCGACGCAGTCGGTATTGAAATGAACAGATATACCCCTGATGATATACTATGGAGCTGCCATGGTTTGGGATTAGGTGCTTTGAGTAATTGCAATTTCGTGTACAGTAGGCGAATGCCAAGTTGGCGCGGGGGACAAGAAAAAATATGATCTACGGACAAGAAGTGATTTGATTTGAGCCAAGATGGCGAGGTGTATACTAGGTTGGGTAAGTGTCTCCGGGAGACGAATCAACGAATAGCATCAGAATTTATTTCTATTTTTGATTTATTTTTGCTCGGGAGTCTCTGTTGGCGTGGATGTGTTTGAGGTGGATAACTTGGAACATCAAAATCATGCAGTCAGAATGGCTCAATAATAAGTAAGTACTCACTTGCTTTAAAATTGCGGTGGCGCAGCGACCCTCCGCCATTGCACTGCGCGGCAGATGCAGCGAGGGTAATTTGATTGGCACAGGAACAGTGCTCCGTAGGAAGAAGAATCCATCGTAAGAACTGCATCTGACTTAAGAATAAATAAATGTGGCTGCCTTGCCGGTTCGGTCTCATGTTCATGCTCCTCCTCCTACCAAGACTTTTACTCGGGTTTGACTCCACGATCTATTGTTTTGGATAACAAAGGACCAAGAAACCCAACCGGTCCTTCCCACAGTTACACCTTATATGATTATTTGTTGTTCCTAATTCCGACTTTCCAAGCCTGACGTGCAACGACGACGTACCTCCCGACGTGCTCCACTTCATTAGCCCAACTGCACTAAATAGTCTCCGTCATTCCAACTGACTCTCTCAATCCGCCGGTCGCTTGCAAATCCCGCCTGGTTGTTCTTCCTGCCAGCGCATCCCGAAGCATCGCCAGGGCAATCGGTCCGTATTGAACTTCGCAGGATCGACTTTCGCCAGTGACCCGACCGGCCTCCCGAGTAAACGAGGCACAACAACGTGACAAAAGCTTAAACTTGGGTGGCTCCCAGGGGTTCATGGGGGGCCAAGCCCGGCTGTGCGGATAAGATATCTTAAGAAAAGCGACGGGCTGGCGTCCATCACGACGATCCTCTTTCTTCTCCCTCTTCTCGCTTTCACAACCCGTCTCTTTTCCTTCCTTTCCTTGCACCCCCTCAAAGGCTGTTCATCCTTGCAGTCTCCTCTCCTTTCCTGCAAGAATGGGCTGGCCAGTGTGCAATTCGACCGTGGAAGATGAAACCAGTAGGCAGCCCCCTCTGCGCTTTGTTTGAATGCGACTTGAGTGGTTATCGAATTGAAATGGGCTGACGCGGTTTTTGACAGTCACGGAGGTTGACCTCTGGGATGGCGGAATCACCTTCCACCAACTCTGCCTGATCGTGGGCGGGGCTTTTGGTCTCGTGTCTATAGTTGTTTCCTTCTACCTGATTGGAATGCACGCTACACACTACAGCAAAAAGATAGAACAACGACAGTATGGTCTCCCTCATTCTGTGGTCAGATATTGGCACATAGTTTTTGTCCATGGCTAACGTCCTCCTCTTTTCACTAGTATCATTCGAATTCTGCTCATGGTCCCTGTTTACTCCGTCGTCGCATGGCTCGGTACCTACTTCTACAAGAACGATGTCTACTACGATTTGATCGGCAACTGTTACGAAGCGTTTGCGATTTCGGCTTTCTTTTCTCTTATGTGCGCTTACATCGCGCCCGACTTGCATAGCCAGAAAGAATATTTCCGTGGAGTCGAACCCAAACAGTGGGTCTGGCCGATCCCGTGGCTTCAGAAGTGTACCGGTGGACAGAAGGGCATTTGGAGGGTACCACGCAGTGGTTTGACATGGTTCAACGTGAGTGCGACAGGTCAGGTTGTGCGCGATTGCAGTTATGCTAACGCGGCGCTAGGTCATCTGGGTGGGCGTTTTCCAATACTGCCTCCTTCGAGTCCTGATGACTATCGTCGCAGTCGTCACGCAAAAGTTCAACCTCTACTGCGAGGAATCCCTCAACCCCGCGTTCTCGCATATTTGGGTATGTGCCGTGTGTCTCTTATATTGGAGTCTGCTAACATGCGAAAGGTACTCCTCATTGAATGTATTGCAGTCTCCATCGCCATGTACTGCTTGATCCAGTTCTACATTCAGATCAAGGATGACATCGGCCAGTATCAGCCATTCCTGAAGATTCTGTCAATCAAATTGGTCATTTTCCTGTCCTTCTGGCAATCGGTAAGTGCAGCATCTTGCCCCCATCTCTACCTCCGGTTGTCTAACCGTTCTAGACTTTGATCTCCTTCCTCACCTCGGCCGGAGCCATCAAAACCACCTCTAAAATACAAAGCCCCGATCTCAAGGTCGGACTGCCGAACCTACTCATCAACATTGAGATGGCATTCTTTGCCGTTCTCCACCTGTGGGCATTCTCCTGGAAACCGTACTCGCTCAAGAACCAGCCATCCGAAATCACCGACTTCTACGGCAACGGCAAAGCCAGCTATGAAGGCGGTCCCTTCGGCGTGAAAGGTGTGCTTGACGCCTTGAATCCGATGGACCTCATCAGAGCGATTGGACGTAGTTTCCGCTGGCTCTTCGTCGGCCGGAAGAGACGCACGATGGATCCCAGCTACCACCAAACCGCAAATGACGCCTTCAACATGAACGCCACCGAGAGCGGAATCGATTCTCACGGCACCGAGTACGGCGGCGCAGGTGCAATGATGGCCGGTGGACGCTACAGTCCCCCTGGCGAAGAAGGACAGGTCCTCCTGTCGCACGCTCAGCCAAGCCCCGGTGGTGGTCTCGTGCCTCCGCTCGAGGACGAAGCGGACCCGAATCGCTTCTACAACCATAACCGACTCAGCGCGACCTCCCTCCTGGAGCCAACAGCCACGCATACCGCCCGGCCGTACTCTCCCTACGAGGACGCATACAACCCATACCTCGTGAACTCCCACCTAGAACAAGACCACTACCACGAAGCCGTTCACCCCAATCCACCCTACCCAGACCATCCTTCCGACCTCAACAACCCCTACCACACCACCACAACTCTTCAAGAACAGCCTCCCATCCCTCTCCCAGAATCCTACCAACCCCCTCCCCCGCACTACGACAGTGACCACCAACAACAACGAAGGTAAAGCGACGAGATTTGATTTCGACGAGCAACAAAAGAAACTCCGGTACCCCCGGAGTATGATGACCCTTTTAAGTCTTCATGCATGTTCTTCACATTCTTGCGCGTTCCTCATCATCATCCCCACTAGGTAGAGGTGAGAACGCCACGGCTAGCTAAGTAGCTAGCCGTGTTTATCTTTGTCTCTTGGCGTTGGCTTATTTTATACCTGTCTGTTCCGTGCATCTGTCGTATAATACCCTCTGAACTTTTCCTGGGCTGCCTTTGTTTTTATCTTTTGATTGTTTGATTTTATCTAGCTATATGATATCACGGTATGAAGATTGAGGTTTTCTGATGAACCCGGATTTCACTAACTTACCTGGGATTCTTTTTTTTTTCTCTCTCTTGGGTGAGGGGGTTAAGGTTGGTTGGTTGTATATGACATTACTCGGCCTCCTTTCTTTTCTTTTTACTGTCTTCATTCTTCATACTACTTATACTATCTTGCTGTTCCTTTGTGCGGAGATAGAGATTACTTAGATTAGATTAGATTAGATATTTTCGTTGTACAATATTATCTTTTACTTCTGATATACTACTATAAACATTTATACATGGCGTGACCGTGACTGCATTATGGGAACTGTATTGGTTTCCAATACAATATCGACAGTGGAACAAACCTACGTCGCAAAAACATTGTTGATGTTGATGGAAGTCAATCAGGGTATGATCATGCAATCATTTCGTTAAGACTACTACTACTGCTAGTATCAGCTACATCGACTAAATCTATCCCACCGAGTATCTTCCCTACCCATGGCTCACGCCATCCCCTGTCGAGAACGGCTCAGCGAACCGATTCTGCCACGATAATTGTTGTGTTTTCCGGGACATTGCCGTCCGTCTCACGCTGTTCATTAGGGCGGTTCGTTTCCCGAGCTCGCGCATCGCGCTGATGCTCTGGCCGAGTTGTCCTAGTAGAGAGACGAGGTGGACGTCGTTGCTCTGGGCGATGGCTTCGGCTGTGAAGGCGCTTTGTTCGTCTGGGGTGAGGAGGGAGAGGTGTGAGAGGAGGGCGTTGATGTTGCGGAGGATGGGGTGGGAGAGGGTGGCTGTTGAGTTGGGGGTGTCTGCGGATATGCTGGCGACGTAGGATTTAATGAGGGAGATGCGGGATTCGAGGGTCTTGATGGCGTTGAGGCGGGTGGTGAGGCTGGCGATTACTGTGGGGTTGGGTTGGTTAGTGATGAGTTGGGTTCGGGTTTGGGATGGTGGGTGGGGTGGCTCTTACGTTCTTCTTCCTCCGGGGAGAGCACGTCTGACTGATCTTTGGTGGGTTCTTTGCCGGCTGCTTGTTTTGTGAGAGAGGAGGTGGCTGGTGTGTCTACGGCGGCGTTTCTGGCTGTTCGTGCTACGGTGTCGATGCCTATCATCTCGGCTTCGCCCGTTTCCACGGAGTAGGGCAGTTCGCGGAATCGGATCGTTAGAGATTGTTCTTCTCCATCAACCTGCATCGTCTTGCTATTCTCTGTCGCATTTTCGCCCTCGTATACGCTTTCGTAGATTGTCACAGGGAGCTTGCCACCGTTGGAGGATGCGTCGTGTACCAGGGATGGGTGGAATGCGAGGAACACGGCGGACTCGTTGTGGTTGTGGAGGATCTGGCGATGGATTGGGAGGTGCGCGGTGTTAGGACCGGACGGAGGAGCAGTTGACCACCAGCCGACGAGGTCAAGCGCAGGGGCTTTGTGTACATCTTTGACTTGGAGGGGGTCAGCAAGGTCCAGATAGCATCTAGATGGTTCAGATAAGGTGGAGGGCACTTACATTGCTTGACTCTCTCCACGAACCAGTCTTGGGGAATCTGGAGTTCGCCATTTGCATTCTCGTTTACGATACATTCAAAGACGTGTTCCAGGGTAATCTCGCGTCCGTTCTGCTGGCCTAGAAGCGCTCCCACTATAGGTCCTTGCTGAGAGCGGGCGGCATGGCGGGTGATGTGGTCTGAGATAGTCAGGAGGATCAGAGGGTGGAGATGGATATGGAGGCCGGAGTCGGAGTTCTTAGGCGATAGAAGGGATTCTGGCTGATCAGACATGATGATCGGTATATCCTTGAAGGAGGAGATGGTATACCGAGGCGAAATGGTAGGAGGAAGCTGTGATGGTCTGGAACTTATCGTCGGGGAGACTGACGGAGATGTCATGGGTGTTTGTCCCGTTTGCAACCAGCTTTCCCCGCCGCCGGGGATAAGAAAGCCGTTCCTGACTTGCCTTTCTCATCTCTCTACTTCCCCACGGATCGCATCACCGTAGATCTGTTTGGAATCAATATGGCCGTTCCATCTACTTACGATGAGGTCCGACAGCACCTGGAACAGGTGCAGCGCGAGCCCTCCACTCGTCTGGACACGTCTCTTCTTGAAAAGTTGAAGCTCGAGCTTACGGAGAACGTCGATCGCAGAGTCCCCGCCACCCTTATGATCCAGATATCGCAGCTGCTCCCCGTCCTGCAGGAGGACCCGACTCCTCTTACCGCTCTTGGTGTCAAGGCTACGACATATCTCAGCTTCGCCGACCTTCACTCCGTCGATCCTCCGATCAATTTCATTGCCGGTTTCAAAGCGCCATCGGAACCTATCAACTTGTTGGCTTTGTCGTTGCTGCGCAAGGCAGGACACGCCGCTAGTGATGCCGCCATCGTTGCCGGCGATCCGGAACTCGTTTCGTCTTTGGTGGAGCTGTGGCTGTCGACCTCTTCTACGGCCGTAGCACAAGCGGCGTTTGACACAATCTGGGAGCTCTTGGAGGTCGATTCGGCCAGTCCGCTCGAGAATACTGGACATGAGGGTGAGGAGACCACCGGCGGACAAGGGCTCGTTTGGAGACGAATCTTCGCGGATAAGGATGTTTACGGGTTGCTATTTTCCCTCTGCAGTCTCACGGACAATGGACCAGCAAGTCTGTCCAAGCGCGACAAGACTGTAGCTCAGGGACGGTTGATGGGTCTACTTGTGAAGGCGGGTCGTCTGCATTGGGACATTATCTCAAAGCCACAAGTGCCAGAAGTTGAGAGAAAATACCAGAGCAATGGTCTTCTCCATTTCGCTGTCTGCCATATGGTCGACAAGGATGATGTGCTCATGCATATGACTTTAATCAACTTCTTCCATGATCTTCTGGAGATCGATGCCCCTGGTCTCATCGCGCGGACCATTGTGCAGTCAGCATCCACCTTCTCCTCTCCCGCCCTGGATTTTCTTATTTCGCATAACATTCATTCTACGTTGTTGGAGTATTACTTGGATGAGTCAAAGCTCGACGCGGTGGACCTGGCTTACCTGTGCGGTCCTATCATGACTTACGTTGCGCAGTATGCCGAGCTGTACCCCAATCACTTCCTGCAAAACCCGCAGTATCTACTGGACCGGATACTGTCTCGCATTTCTGCCTCGGTGGCGGTTTCGACCTCCCAATGGGCGCATGGGCCAGTCCCTAGCGGGCAATTGAACGTACTCTCCTGTCTGCCCCGCGTTTTGCTCGTGGAAGCCAGCAAGCAAGGACTGAACCCTGTTCTGGCCTTGCCGACCAGTCCTCCAAACAAGGAGGCTCTGGACGTGCTGGCCAAGATCCTCCACGGCCCAGTGAAGCAGGACCTTACGGACTCGATGGAGTTGAATGCATCTGGCCAGATGCCGACAGATTGGCACAAAGAGGCCGCGGCCGCTCGCGCGTTGTACTTCATGTACACTAATCAGCATACCAACTTTTGGACGGATGTAGTTGCGACGGCCGATATTCTTGCAATGAAGGATATTTCGTTGGCGTCGATATCCCTCATGAGATCCCTCATCACTGCTAATTGGCAGATCTTAACGGGTGAAGTCACCTCGTCTGTTCCTGGGACTTCCCGATACCAGCTTCCCACCGAACAAGATTTGGAGAGTTTGTCTCCGGCTACACAGGGAGTTCTGCCGTCATCGGGTGCTTGGGCAGCTCTGACGCCACCAGCCCTGACTGTCCTCCTGCCATATCTGTTCAAGCCTCCTCGGTCATATGCCGAGTTTGTCGGCGGCGGAGCAGGTGATTCCCAGCATGCGGTCTGGAAAGTGGCAACGGCGAAGCACGAGGTCTTGGTGGCGCTGTATGACTGTCTCAAAGAAAATGGGGGACAAATGGAAGGGTTCGAGGACATCATGCGTACTCTCCGGCAACGGGTGAACGAGGGGCCATGGGGGCCTGTATCCCAGACTGCAAACCAGGTTGCAACCGTTGGCCTGTAAGGCTGGTGCTGCGGAGATGCCCATATCACTGGACGATTTACGGTTATGCCATTAGATACCTGTACTATTTCCTAATTTTCCAATTCAGCAATAGCAATGAATCCTACATCAATAATATTTCCTACACAGTCCTAACAGTACAGTACACCTTATAGATACTACACTCTGATTGGCCCATCCAGCCACCCCAGGGTTCCCGTCCCGGTACCCTAATTACCCAATTCGCGCAGATCTCCGCAGGCGGTGAGCCACATCCAAGCTCGGCCGGAACTTTTTTCTCAGCCATTGGATCATGGCGCAGTAAAACGCCCGCCAGCGCTTCGGCCTTTTCCTCCCTGGACGTTAGACAACCTGGGCCCCCAACGGAGCCATCTCCAACCGATTGAGAAAAAGGGGCATATTACCTGTGAATAATCTTATTGCCCGACATGTCCCGATTCGGCGCAAAGAAAGGCAGAAAGCTCCCCGGAGCCGAGTTCACCTGGGAGGCAGATCCCAGCGGAGAAAATGATACGGCGCCGACGCCTTTGTTCCCTGTATGTTTTGGGTTGATGTGATATGATATATTTGCTTCTTTGTTTGGTTGCTTTGTCACACGGGTGATTTGTTGCGTTTACCGATGTCGTTCACATTCACCCTGCTGCTGCTGCTGCTGCTGCTGCTGCTGCTGTTGTTGTTATTGTCATAGCAGTCTGGCTTGCTGTTGCTTTTCGTCAATCAAGGAATGAGGGAGAGGCTCTAATCATGTCATTGTACAAACAGAAATACACGGTCCCTCGCGCCAGACCACTCTCCTCGCAGGAACAATTGCAGGTGGATTTCTATCGCACTCTCCGGGAACGGTTCCACGATGGCCCTTATTACTCGATTCTGGAGGGGGCGGGGTCGACGATGAAGAAGGATAGTGCGGCGCGGGTGAACTTCGATCCCTTCCATGGCATGCCGAGTTATTCGGGCAAGTATCAGAAGAAGAAGAGGGCGTTGCCGAGGTTACAGGGGAGGCAGTATGGTGAGTTTAATTACTCTGTTACTGATGATTTATGAGGCAGTTGGGAGAGGGACATGGTGCTAATGGGACTGTGGCGGTAGTTATGAAGTTCTTCCCCCGCGAATTGTGGCAGACGATTCAGCCGACGTTCAAGCCCGATGCCGCGATGGATGGGTATGTGCCGCAGGTGGCGCGGGCTGGGGCGAAGCGGGGATTTGAGGACGATGATGAAGAGGAGGATGAGGATGCGGCGAAGCGAGCGAAGGCTGGTGGTGAGGAGGGTGAGGGGGCTGAGGATGATGATGATGGGGATGGGGATATTCTGGATCCGGAGGAGGAGCAGGAAGGCGAGGAGGAGATTGAAGATGATGACTTTGAGGATGACGATGATGAGATGGGTGGAGATTATAACGCTGAGCAGTACTTTGATGGTGGTGATGATGAGTATGGGGATGATGGGTTTGGAGATGGTGGTGGTGGCGGCGAGGAGGATACTTATTAGATCGAGCTGGATTCTTGAGATACCCTTATGTTCAAAACTATTATTCTTTGTCGGTTGATCTTATCAATCTAGCGGTTACTTTGGTTTATTCCTATGGTTGATTGGGTATATTCATTCCATTGCCGGAGTATTTCACATTCCGAATGTCTCTTCGATTTTGTACCGGTACAGCATCACAGTGACCAATACTTCTCTCCTCATAACTATATCCATACACCATATCCCATCCCCAACACCAAGCAATGCATAAACATCCCATCTATCTACCTCCCATATATGCTGCCAACCCTCTCCGATCCTCGGGATGACGTCATCCCGCTATCTTGCGCCAACTGGACGATCGGATAGAACCCCTCAAGCCAAAACGAGGGGAAGGAAAAAAAGGAAGACCCGCGATAAGCCACAAGTGACAGATAGCCAACCCCCCATCACCACACCACGCTACCAGGGAGATACAGGGCGCAGTACCTAGGTACAATGAACGGCAGCCAATCACTCCCACCGCGGCGCTCAGCTCTCGTCCTGTATGGCTCTGAAACGGGCAATTCGCAGGAAGTCGCCGAGGAGCTGGGGGCGTTGGCGGAGAGATTGCATTTCCGGACCCATGTGGGGGAGATGAATGTGTATAGGCCGGTGAGTTTACCCTTTCAATTGTGTGCTATGTTGATATTATGACGCATGCTGACGAGACTATGCTGTGTGTAGGAGGTATTGAAATCGCATACGCTCGTTATATTCGTTGTCGCGACAACAGGACAGGGAGACTTCCCGGCCAATGCGAGGTCGTTTTGGCGGTCGTTGTTGCTGAAGAGGCTTCCGGGGGACTTTTTGGATGGGGTTCGGTTTGCGTCGTTTGGATTGGGGGATAGTTCTTATCCGAAGTGGGTTTTATTCTATCTTATACATGAGGACATGGTGATGGCTGACTGGCTGGCTTGATAGGTTCAATTGGGCGGCACGCAAACTACACAAGAGGCTGTTACAGCTCGGTGCGAATGAAATATATGATGCTGGGGAGGCGGATCAGCAGCATCCGGAGGGGTGGGTTTAGCTATTTCTCTCTGTTCGGTGGGTGTCTTCTAACTGTGTTGTATAGGCTCGAAGGGACGTTCATTCCGTGGTTGACCGGTCTTCGTACACATTTGCTCGAGACGTATCCCCTGCCTGATGGTCTGAAGCCGATACCGGATGATGTCCAGTTGCCGCCGAAATGGATTCTGAAGCTCCAGGAGGGAGGTGCTCCGACAGCACAGGAAGGACATGCAGTTCCCGGCACACATGAGAATCTACCCGCCCCCGATGATAATCCGAAGTTGACTCGATTGGATTATGATCTGCGACCTCTGCCTGATACTTTGACGGCGACGCTTAGGGAGAATAAGCGATTGACTCCGCAGAAGCATTGGCAGGATGTGCGCCATGTATCCCTTACTGTGCCTGAACATACGTCCTACGTCCCTGGAGATATGCTATGCATTACCCCCAAGAACTTCTCCACCGACGTGAATGCTCTGATCCAGATGATGGGGTGGGAAGAACAAGCTGATCAGCTAATCAGCTTGGTTCCTAATAGCCATATTCCTGCTGATGATCTCCCTTTGCCGCCTATTCGGGGTCTCGACTCCTACCCCCAATTGACGCTAAGGGCGCTGCTTACAGACTACCTCGATATTCAAGCTATCCCGCGCCGGTCCTTCTTTGCGGAGATTGCGCACTACACGAGCGACGAGATGCACAAGGAGCGTCTACTAGAGTTCACCTATACTAGTCCCGAGTATCTTGACGAGCTGTGGGATTACACTACTCGTCCGAGACGGAGTATTCTGGAAGTCTTGCACGAGTTTGACTCGGTCAAGGTGCCATGGCAGCATGCTATCTCGGTATTTCCTGTTCTCAAGGGGAGACAATTCAGCATCGCTAGTGGCGGCGAGCTGAAGAGGGGCCCTGAAGGCGGCACCAAGTTTGAACTGATGATTGCCATTGTCAAGTACCAGACCGTCATCAAAAAGATCAGACAGGGTGTATGTACACGTTATATATCTGCGCTTCGACCTGGGAGCACTCTTAAGGTACAACTGCAGCGCGGTGGACTCAATTCCTCCGTCAACCAGCTCGTTGGCCCAACCGTCCTAGTCGGTCCCGGCACCGGTCTGGCCCCACTGCGATCTATGCTGTGGGAAAAAGCAGCGATTATCAAGGCATACCAGGAGGAAAATCCCGGGGTTGAGCTTAGCATCGGACCCACGCTTCTCCTCTACGGCGGTCGCAATCGAGAGGCAGACTTCTTCTTCGAAGACGAATGGCAGCAGCTCGGTCAGTTGACCAAGTTGAATGTGCTCACGGCATTCTCCCGGGATCAAAAACAAAAAGTCTACGTGCAAGATGTAATCCGCCAGAACTATGCACTGCTATTCAAGCTGCTGCATGACATGGCAGGATCGGTGTATATCTGCGGCTCCTCTGGACAGATGCCCAAGGCAGTAAGGGAGGCGCTGACGGAAGCATTCCAGCACGGCGCAGAGGTGGAAACCGATCGATTCAACGAACAAGGCGCCGAGCAGTATCTGCTTGGCATGGAGAAGACGGGACGGTATAAGCAGGAAACTTGGTGATCCGCCTCAAGAGGTACTGTCACATGTAAAGCGGTTATACCATCAACACCGATAGAGAGAGCGATGGCATGCCTGCCAGATCCGACACCATGCGGATAGAGTAAAACAAGCACAATATACCCACATATTCCAATAGAATCAACACCTACTCTATGAGGTCATTTGAATATATTTTACCCCGCTAAACTTGTCAACTTGTTGTACAAAGTCCCATAATCGACAAGGCTAACCTCGGCTGGCGGCGGAAGAGCAACAAGCGTGGTTAGAATCTCGGCCCGCCTCGGGGGACTCTCCGCCCAGGTCACCTGTTTTCTGCCGCGGATGGAGCAGCTGCTGCTCCGACGGATCGGTGTCTCTCTACTCTTCCCTCAAAACGGCTTCTTGCTCGCTTTAAGAGTCGACGCCCCTCACGCTGCTGTCCCTCCCCTCCATTGCCCCTTCGCTTCCTCCGAAGTCCCTTTACCACATATTACTGTCATAATGAGCGGCTTGCGAATTCTCGTCCCCGTTAAGCGGGTTATTGACTATGCGGTGAGTTTTGGTTTTTGTCGCCTCGTGCTTCTCCTGCTCCGTTCTCGGTGAAGAGTCACATCTCCGAGCGAAAGTTGCCCGCACGCGCAGTCTGCAATTGTGTTCCGTCAACATCAACACCTACACTCACCATACTACCACGACACTACGGCACGGTATATCATGCTGAACATCACTGATAATGTTAGGTCAAACCCCGCGTCAACAAGGCCAATACCGGCGTCGAAACCGCTGGTGTCAAGCACTCCCTGAACCCGTTCGATGAACTCTCCGTCGAAGAAGCCATTCGCCTGCGCGAACGCGGCACCAAGAACCAGAGCCCCATGAAGGTCGAAAACATCCTCGCCCTCTCCGCTGGCGGAGCCAAGTGCGCCGATACCCTCCGCACCGCTATGGCCATGGGTGCCGACCGCGCATTCCACGTCGATGTCGGCGACAGCCCCGATGGTGGTCCCGAGCCCTTGACGATCGCCAAGATGCTGCAGGGTGTGGTCAAGTCTGAGAACATTAACCTGGTGCTGCTGGGTAAGCAGGCGATCGATGGCGACCAGGGTCAGACCGGTCAGATGCTGGCGGGACTGTTGGGGTGGCCGCAGGCGACGCAGGCCAGCAAGGTCGATATCAAGGATGCGGATGGTACGGTGGAGGTAACGCATGAGGTGGATGGTGGTGTTGAGACGCTGCGGGCTAAGTTGCCCATGGTTATCACTACGGATTTGCGGTTGAATGAGCCCCGCTATGCTACGCTGCCGAACATTATGAAGGCTAAGAAGAAGCCTTTGGAGAAGAAGACATTGGCGGATTTCGGTGTTGAGGATAAGAAGCGCTTGAAGACTCTGAAGGTTACTGGTGAGTTTAGTCCCTGCCCTGTCATGTGCACCCCGGCGCTGTTGCATATACTAACTAACCGTTCCAGAACCCCCCGCTCGCCAGGGCGGTGGCAAGGTCGAGGATGTTGACGGCTTGATCGGCAAGCTGAAGGAGCTGGGTGCTCTGTAGAGGTGGATTAAGACAGATGATTGGATATACAACAATAGGTATACCTTTGTGTGTGTGTATGTTTACGACTAGACCCGTGTCCAGTGTCAGCTGAACCGGCTGGACCTTATTTCTCATTCTACTTTATCTCCCGCGGATCATATCCCTGCCGTGTTGTCTAGCTCCTGTGGATATACTATTTACTTATGCTTAACTCTATCTGTGGCTGGCTATACCTGCTACAGTGGGTCGACCGCACGAATCACTCATCGGGACAGGAGCAATTGCCTGATAGAGTAGGAGAGTAGCTCACACGAACTATCCAGCTGTCTACTTCCGTAGCTAGCTGAACTCGGAAGTTCATCGGCAACTACTACGTAGTGACCTGACAAGCAAAATCTCAATATGACACATGTCTAATAACTAGTTATTCCCCCCTGTCACGCTGACATATACCCACAATGCACTAATACCAGCTACTAGTCGATTATAATCCGTCCGGGGATCCCGTTCCGCTAGATAGACTAGATGGCAGCCAGTAGTCCAGTAGTCCAGCGTGGGACCCAAGCACCGGGAACCAGCCGGTTCATCGAATCGGATCGAGATGAAGGTAAGATAGATGTTTACTAGCATGGTCTGTACGGAGTGCTTAGGGGATGTGATGGTAATTTTGCATGCACTAGGATGGGTACTAGTTTGATATCAGGGTTGGGCTAGGCTGGATGGAGATGTTTTGTTGGATGTATACCATTTGTATAGATATACTATCTACTATCTACCGTGGGTAGTAGATGGTGGGTGGAAGGGATGGGAATGGGGTGGAATGTAATTGGTAATAGGAATTAGTACTAGTGAGTGGGATTGGAGATATACAAATTCTCAGGTTGAATATATCTAATTACATTCTAGACTACATAGTAGTAATACTCGTCAACATGAACTCTAGATATAGTATTGAAGTAGTAGAGTTAACCTTCAACACCCAACTGCATACATTCCACGAGGCCAGACAAGCAGACACACAGACACACAGAGTGCCAGAGTGATGAACGACACTCCCGTTCGCATTTCAACTATGTACTTACTTACTGTTACATGATCCTCCGATCGATCTATCCCACCCGCCCCCTCTGTCCACTTTGTACCTACAGTAAAGTTGGATACATCATATCAGGCACGGTTGATAGTGCGAACAAAATGAACACGAACACTAACTCGAACAGAACCCAAACTCAATTCATCCACGGAAGCACGAATGTATCCATCCATTCGTTTATCTAACTTTCTGATCCTTAGCTTAGCGGTCTACAGAGTAGCTAGTTACAGTAGGTATGGACATGACTCGCTGCCTTTCGGCTATTGATCCACTAGGGTGTTATGACAGGAACACTGCCCATCTACTATCTGTCATTGTAAATGGTTTGTTGGGGATGATGTACATAGTACGCTAGTTGGTTAGTTAGTTAGTTAGTTAGTTTTATGAAGTGTTACGATCGTCGAATTGACTAGCTGACCGGATGATTAGTTAGGGTGAGGGTGATGTTTCGGCCGAAGTTGCCTCGTCTCGTCTCGTCTAAGAATAGCCTGTCCTACAGAGTACAGTAGAGTAGACAGGGATCCATCTGTGGTTCAGCTGGACTACGGAGTAGACTGGAGTGTTTCGCATTGCTAGGGCCAGGGTCAGGGATTGTGGAATGTTCTGTTCTATTTACTAAATTCTACTATACTATACTATCTATAGTCAAGTACAAGTATAGAGGGGATATACAAACTTACCATCCTACCCATCACCAAACCATAAGCTTAGTTTAGCATAGAAGTAGGGATAATCACACACCACTCTCTGATTAACCCACTCCATCCTCAGTATCCCTCTCAACCGCAATAACCGCATCAATCCACTTCCTAACTATCCTCGTGGGCCCCTACCATCCCCATCCCACCGATGGCATATGATATATCCAACAGTAAAGAAACACGGGAAGTGAGATTTTTTTTCTCGTTCTAAATGCGCACATGGTGTCCAGGGGGGAAATTTGAGATGAGAGAGGTTCGTTCGTGAGTTCGTGAGTTCTTGCTCCCGTTCCTCCCGTTCGTTCCTTCGATGGCCCCCCGGCCCCGGGATGATGAAACTCTGTTTGAATGGGGTTTGATGGGGTGGGTAACATGGGTTTGGGTTGGACTGGTCAGGTTGGGCTAACTGGATGGGGTAGTAGATTAGGATTTAAGTAGGTAGGTAGGGAGGGAGGTCTGTGGTACCTTTTGTAACAAGGTACCTTTTTTTTCTTTCTCCTTTGCTTTGCTTTTTCTTAACTGTGCTTCGCCCTTGGAAAGGTGCGATTGAGGTGAGCCACTTGCGTCAATTGAGTATCTTCATGCCCTGCTGTAGGTACCGGAGGGTAGGTAGGAAGGAAGGTAAGTAGGTATAGTATCCCAAGCAACGCATCTTCAACCCTGTCGTTGGCGAGAAGTGGAACTAACCCGAGTAAGTAGACTAGACTAGACTAGACTATTGGATCTCGATTGGGGGTGGAGAAAAAAAAGGGAGGATATTGGACCTGTCAGGGACAGGATATTATTTATTTTTCTACTTTCGGAGTGAGTTGTTAACCAGCTACAGTATCCGTTATTTACTTCCATATTAACCTGGTGACTTGTTTACTTACTACCTACTTAGTTACTGTATTTAGTTCTGCAGCTAGGGTTGGAGGGGATAGTGGAGAAAAAAAGACAACATGAAACTAATGCAGAGAATTTTCTTTGCCTGGGCGACGAGAAGGAAATGAAGCGAGGGGATGGACCAAATCAATGCGAAGGGATACAATTTACCCATCCATGGATTGGGGGGCCAGACAGACAGAGCTAGCTAGCTAGCTAGCTAGCTACTGTAGATACTAGTTTAGGGTGTGGACTGGACTGGCTGGCTGGCTGGTATTGGGGCTGAAGGAAGAAGGTCAGAAAAAAAAAAAATAAATAAATAAAGCAGCACCACTGCACGTAAGCAAAATAAAATCACGGTAGAAGAAGCGATTGGACCTGTCATATTCTTCGGGTGGGAAGTCGATACATCCCTTGTGAGGGTACGCAGGGATGAAGAGGGGAAAGATTCATGCGGATCTAGTGGAAGTTAATCGGATAATGAATTTTATTTTATTTTGATTTTTGAAATCTAAAAAATTAAAATTTTTTGAACAAGGAAATTGTGAGGGTGGGTTTACTTTGGCAGCAAGAAGAAGAAGAACTAAACTAGACTAGACATAGATTAGCTGGGGATCTGGTTCAGGGACTCTTGGCCCCATCACCATCGCCATCGGGTACGTAGACGATGACGCTGTCATTTGGGGGTTGGAGGGTTGAGAATTCTTCCAGGATTCTTTTATTTCTTCCACGGAAGAGAAGCATTGCGAGAACAGCATTTGAAAGACAAGGAATGATTATCAAATAGGATAGAAGAATGTAGAGCAAGATATCTACTTCTACATCCGAACAGCCGACGGGCAAATTATAAAAGTAGAAAAGTAGAAAAAGTTAGGGTAGAAATCTAATCCGATCGGCTTATCGGGCGCGGCGAAGCGATGACGCTGATGCTGCCATGATGCCATGCATCCGGAACCAGACTGAAGGATGGAATGGATGAATGACTGCCTAATTAATATCCTTTTCTTGTACTCCCCTCCACTTCCTCGTCATCATTTTGCTGACTGACTTGACTTTTCTTGTACACCTTTTTTATTCATCCGGCCGTTCCATCTCCGGCCAGCCACTCTTACTTCCAGTCCAACCATGCCCTTCCGACCCAGCCGTGTGAGTATTTGTGCCTGGTTCGCATCCACGGCTCTGCACACTTCTTCCATTTAGTCTTGTCTTCCCCTCTTGCTTTCTGTGAAAAGAGGATCCATCTTTTCCCTTTCTGCTTCATGCTTGCTTGCTTGCTTTTTCTTCCTCCTCAACTGCATTAGCTCTCGGTCATACATCCAGCCTACATCTCTAGCACATCTGACCGACGGGTCCTACGGGTCGATCCCCTCCTCCACTCTGGGGTTTACCTCTCATCTCCTACATAAACTGTCCCTGCTCCTACTTGTGGTGGACACGGAAATTAGCTGTTGTTTCATCTGGTCCCTTTTCCCACCTTACTCTCGGATATATTGTCACTTTTGATTTTCTTTTCTTTTCGTGGCCCTGGCGAGGCTCAGGCGGAGGTAAGCCGACCCCCGAATCCCATTTGCCCGTCCCATGGTTCCCCTCCTTCCTTTCCTCGTATGTCACCGGTTCTCCAGCTGCTCGCCACCCACTCAAGGCGAGGTCTGGAACGCACGGCTAGCACGGCGAAAAGCTCGAGGTCTTCTTGCCTTTTAATAATATGGCCCTCTCCTACGTCTCCTGCCTCAATACATGCAATTTCCTTTCCTCGCAGATCACTGACGTTCCGGATGCTATATAGTTGGCTTACATTCTTACCATTCTCCGGACCCGCATTCCTCGGTTGTCACCCCAACTTCTGTTGCGCCCGTTTGCTGCCTCTCATACGTTCCCGGCTGCATTGGGACTTTATGTGAAATACTTTGGCCGTCTTCGTCTACTGCTGCCATTGCATCCGCAATTATAGACTGCCTTTTTACCCACTCCGCGGTCCTCAGGACTCCATCCTGTGTCACTTTGTTTGGTAGACTTGGAGACCCCGCGGGATTCTGAGTCGCCACCATGCCTTCCACTCTGTGGGAGAAGACGAAAGGCACATCTAAGAAAGGATTCGATAAGGCATGGCATACCCTCGACAAGCTGGGCGATCCCGTCAACCGGCTCTCCTACAAGGTCGGCGCAGAGGCCTTTTGGCCCATGACCCTTGATAAAGAAAGCGACAAAGCTGCGCGAATCCTCCGAAGTTTCTGCAAAGATGGTTTCTATTCCAACGAAGATGCCGAACGTCAAAGCACCGACAGCTCGGTCAGCAAAGAATCCGGCAAGATCGATCGCCCCAAGGGCAAGCAGCGCGTCTTGAAGAAGATCCCCGCTAGGGT